CCCCCATTACTTCTGCTGTCACCAGGGTGCCAGACCCTATCCTTTCTCTGTAACTTTCACCACTGTGTCTGCACAAACACCTCCCAAGGTCACCTACACCTGCATTTCCCCAATCCTGCTGTCATCACTGCACCTGCACACCCATGCTTTAACCACCACACCTGCACCACCATTCCTGCTCTCATCACAGCAACTGAACTGCCCTGCTTTTGCTCTCGCCACTATACTTGTTCCTGCACATTGTCCTCCTCGCACTCTCAACATCATGCCTCCCATCCCTCCTCACTATGGCACCTGACTCCCATCCCTCCCCCTATTCTCTAGCCACCCCCGCCCCCACTTTCTGTACACTGGGTACACACCCCATCCTAACCCTCTTCCTTTAAGCTATGTGCTTGCATGCACCCTTGTCATCCCCACACCCTCCCCCCTACCTGCTCAGCACCTGACCACCATCGTCCCTCCTCACACTCTCACCACCACACCTCCACGCCTGCACACTTCACCACCAACCAATTACCACTGTATCTGGCATCTGCCCCTACTCACCAACGCATCTGTCCCCCATTCCTCTCTTACTGTTAATACCACACCTGCCAAACCTAAATCTCTTGCTCTATTTCCTCTCTGCTCTTACCACTGCACTTGCCAACATCCCAATCACCCCCATCCCCAACTGTTCTCGAACAAGCAAACATTTGTCAGTTCTGTATATTTTATTTTACATTCTGGATTACTGAATTGAATTATGTATTTGAGAGTAATTATTATAAAGCTATGGAAGGTATCTAGTGCTTAATGCATTTAACTGTGACAGTATAGTTATTGTTAAATTCAAAGTGTAAATGTGATATTGATTTTTGACAGCTTGATTAATATTTAATTTTACTCTATTGTAAGCATTTTGTTTTGCAGTATTACAAAATATATATTAAAAACGTTTTGAGCCACAATGTTTTTGTTTATGTACTGGTTGTTGAACTGTTAAGAACTGTTGAACAGAACAGAGATAGATAGATACTAAACAAAAAAAAGAGTATTGAGAAAATGCAATAGGAACAAATTTGACAATGATAACTAAGGTACTTTCAGTGCCTTATAATGCTAATAGTTTTATATTTCATTGCCTGTTTTCTAAGTACTTCTGTAGTAAAATGACATTGTAAATTCAATTAGATCCAAAATTATCACATTAAGTTTATCAAACATGCTGCAGTATGAGAATACAGGGACTAGTGGTGCCTGTTCATACCCCTACATGCAATCTTCAGCACCTAGGATGCCCTTAATTGCAGTGTGCCATAACAAGCACATTTCAAAATATCCCTTCAGTGTGAATGACTGTGTTGTCCCCTTTTATCACCTTCACAGTTCACTAAGATGGGTGGATTTACTAGCTAATAGAAACATTGACATATTGGGTCATCCAGGATGCTACAGACTGCATGTCAAAGTATTTACAGGAAATTATTGGTGCCTGCAATGTAGATCTGGAGACTGTTTAGTACTTTTTTTTGTACTAATAGGTATATTTTAGGACAGGAAAACTAAATGGCAATTCTGCATCTGTATTCTGCATGCAATTAGGCAGACTAGCAAAGGCATTTGACTGGAGCCGATATACTGCTTTTTACCAACAAAAGGTACATCTTTTAATTTAAATTATACTGTTGTATATTAGAATATGTCAGGAATGTATTCATGCAAACCTGTAAAATTACTAAAATGTCCACTATGAGGCATGTCATAGGGTACTAAGTCAAATTAATACAAATTAATAACACTATGTATGCTTAGAAGCTCAGGCACTTTTTCCCAAATCCTTGTAAAGCCAAATTTTGCTGTGGTGTGCTACTCACTCAATTTTATGAGTTTGCCCTACTCTATTAATATTTTTAAATCTAGTAATGCCCTGGCTCTGGTATTTCTAAAAATGCAATATGATTGTCTTGTGTGGCCTATTTACATAGTAAATAGTTTTTAGTGGAATTTTCTTCTTTAATGTTACAAAATGTATGATAAAGGCTTACCTGGTAGAAGATGCTGGCTCAGTTGCCTGCCTCTGTATCCTTGTGCGTCTCATGATGTGTTCTTTCATGGACATCTGGACCTCTGCTGGTATATCTGGTGAGGTGTGGCTGATCTTAACAGCTGCTTCCAAGAAGCCCAAGTTGCTTGCATCCTTCAGCTTGTCTGCCATGGCTTCCTTTTCACTGGGGAACGCTGTGAAGGTTGACATGTTCTGCCCTGTTGATGCCGAATTAGATGACACTGCCTTGTTCCTCCAGGGCACCCACCACAGCTTCCAAAAGAGAAAGAGAAAAACTGCCACCAGGGCCAGGCCACACACAATAACAATCACTGCAAGGAGGCTGACGGACAGGTCTACAGGGGCAAAAAAAGTAGGAAGTGACATTGACAAAGAAGAGGGGGAAGGATGTGAGACAACACCAGGGGCAGCAGAGAGAAAAGAGGGGAAGAGAAAAGAATGGTAGTGAGAAAAGCTTCAAGGTTTGAAGAAAACAAAAAGATGACAAAACTAAGTTTTTCAAGATTAATTAAGTGGGTATCTGAGTTCGTCAACCATGTGCGAAGAAAAGAAAAAGACAATACAGACTATTCATGAGCATGGTATGAATACTAAATAGTTTGAGTCATCAAATTAAATGATGTATCAGTTCTGTAAAGTAATCTGTTAAGACTGTGTTACCTAATTAACCTCTGTTTCTTCTACAACTTCTGCTTTATGCTTTGACTGAGAGGATAGCTAAAAGATCATAGACTAGTTTACATTTCTGTCATGGGGCTGTAGATTCTGCATGCTAATATAAGAGTCAGAGAATTGAAAATTAGGCTTATAAAAAAAGAACCTAGAAAAAAGGAAATTGGATGTACTGAACACAGCAAATCAGATTCCAGATGTCAGTGTTTTAGTGTAGATACAACATTAGAAAAAGGTTATCGGTCCTCATGTTTGAAATTGCTGAAGGTTGCCTTTCAGCCATGTGTATATATGAATAAAGCATTCTTCTCATTCATTTTAGAGGAATCAAATGTTTTAGTCCATCTGTAATGTTGCCCAAACAAAGCCCAAAATGTCTAACAAAAACCAAGCTTGTGCAGTGAAGCTATAACCCTTGGAGTCTTTTACAGAGGGTGAAGAGGAATGTCTTGCCAAGTTATGTAAGTAGACAAGTGTAGAAACTCATGTTCCTCCCTAAAAAGGTAGAAAGTTCAAACATATCATCTATGATTGCAAAGGCAAACACAGTTTACCTTTGCCCCGGTTTAATGTGTGTATGGCCTGTAGAATATAATTATGGATTTGGATTATAGATGTCAGATTATAATTTTGTATAGCACAATTCTGTAACACCTACTTAAAAGGTAACTCCACTAAAAATTAATATACTGTACTTTATATAATGGTTGCATAAGTCATTTTGTATTTTAATGTTATTTTATCAACAATTTTATTAACATAATTGGTTTACGGAACACCTGCGAAATATCACTTTCTGCTTCTGTGGTTGGCTGACTGATTTTCATTTTTAGTGACATACTCCCTAAGGGTTAATTACTACTAAAGGGATGCAGACACTGCACCTTTCCTTATTACAACACAGGAAGCCCACCTGCTGATTACAATAAACCCAGACCCTCCCATTCAGGGATCAGTTTGTAAGGGGCATGCTGCAACAAACAGATTTTTGTTCAGAATAGAGTCAGGTAGGTTTCTGTAAGTTAGTTTGTTTAAATTTTTGCAATGTACATTGATAGAAAACAGTTTGGCGGAGCTAGCTGTCACTGCTAGCTCCGCACAATCGTTTTCTATTTTATTTTTTACTACTGTTTTAAGTGTTTTTCTATTCTGCTCGGTACCGCAGAGGTACCGAGCAGAACAGCCGAGCCGAATGCCGCTCGGCAGCATTCGGCTATTCACTCACTGCTGTTCGGCATCTATGAGAATAGGCCGAACAGAGCGAGTAGCCTGCCGGAGGTTCGGCATAGCCCATCCAGATGTTGGATCGGCTGAGTCGAACTCCTTCTGCACTTTGGGTCGGCCGAACATGCTGAGCATGTTCGGCCGACCCAAAGCCAGCCGAAGCCACCCGATGTA